CGTAGCTCAGTTTGCAAGCAGACACTTGCCTTAGAGCACCAAGACTTTCAAATGATAAGGAAAACCAAAAGCACATTTCTAAATGTTATTTAACTGACATAAGAGCTGGACTTTTGGCACTTTTTGCTGTTCACTCTTTGTAAGTGGCATTTTGCCAGTTGAAATATTAAATACGCTACTTGCAAAGGTGAAAGATCAAAAGGACAATTGTCAGTATGCAGTAAGATCTCTGGCTGGTTTTTTAATCTTCACAGATCCAATCATCATCAATCCTTTGCAAAAAAAAAAAATCTCTTCTGCCAATAGGTCTATTTAATTTAAATTGATACACAAATAATTAATTTTAAGGATCAGAGTTTGGGTCACAGAAACTTGGCAGTGACTTCTTTGGGAAGAACAAGTTTTCCTACGGAGTTATTTGAAAAATTTACTAAAGGATCCCTGACATCTGTGTTGGTAAAATGATAAAATGAATTGCAAGAATAAGACTGTTTTAAAAACCTGTCCTGAGGACACCCTAGGGCAGGGCAATGATAGCATAATATACTTACTGTCACTGAAAACACCTGAGTTATTTCCTTGAAACATTGTGTACTTAGTTACTTCCCTGGGTCTTCAGGAACTGGCTTTTGTCTATAAATCTGCAAGCTACTGCATGAACAAAATGAACTGAACAGTTCATTACAGCTCTAATTAACAGATTTTATACATAAACTAGGATTATGGTCCTGACAGATGACAAATAAGCACAGACCCACCATGTCATCTCCCAGGCTGGGTTCTTTTCTTTGGAGTTTTCCAAATATCCTGTCAGTCCTGGGGCACTGACAGTCAAAGGGCTACAACAAAACTAACCTGGCAGTTTTAATGATCTAATTTTAGAATTCTGGTAAGGCTGTGACACAGGCTGCTCAGAGAACTTGTGGCTGCGTCCTCACTGGAAGAGTTTAAAGCCAGACTGGATGGAGCTTGGAGCAACCTGGGAGAGTGGAAAGTGCCCCTGACCATGGCAGAGGTGGGATGAGAATGGTTTTAAGGCCACTTCCAACCCAAACCATTTCACAATTCACAAGTCAAGTTTGTGGTGTCCCCCTGAGCATGCATGCTCTGTTCAGCTGCAGTAAGCTAAAACATATAAAAACATCTCTGGACCAAAATTTACAGCTGTCTTGAGAAAATTCAATGCTCTATACAAAATAGTTTCCAGTATACAGGATGAAGAAAGAAAGCACATTTATATTTTTGAAATATAAGGCATGGAATAAATAAACACTATAGAGATAGAATTATTTAAAAGATTTTAAAATGTGAATTGATAGAATTTTTATTTCAGTTCTCCTGATATAACATCAATTTGAAATGGAGATTATGTGAATTGATCTGAACCAATTTTGGTTTTACAATAACTATACAGACTTTAATTGATTTTTTTTTTCTAATTGATTTTCAGTATAACTTTTGCCAGTCCCATCCAGAGCAGGAAAAACATGCACATGGGTTTACATCTGATGGTGGATGTTCTGGGCAACATTTTCTGAGATTCTAAAGCCTTTTTATCTTTTAAAGTCTCACAGCAATGCTGGAAAGACGGCAGTGAACTGGAAGAGAACTGAAGAAGAGAAATCAGCATGCAGTGGTTACATCCCAGAGAACTAACTGTTATTTAGGTAATTTGTGTATTCAACAGCATTCTCCAAAGAAAAGTAAGTTTATGAGTCATATAATACAGTTTGTTGAACTTTTGCTATTTGATTAAATACTCTGTGTAATCCAAAGGAATTGCACAATTTCTTTGGAGACCACAGAATAATTTACCCTTTGTATCATGCATCTATGCTGTGTTTATATACTGAAATATTTTCCAGAAGTACAGCTAATCTTGGGATTAGGATTATTTGAATGTACAATTTGGTTGATACGAAATCTGAAATACCTCCATTTATGCTTAAATTCTTAAATGCCATTTGATGCTGAGAGTTCATTTTTGGGAGTAGCTATGACTTCATAGAAAATGAACAAAGTGAGCAACACTTCAAAGAAATACTGTAGAGCTGGTAACTAATGCTTAGTGCTATTCTGCTAATTAGCTGGAAGCTTAGAGAGTGGAATTAAGCAATTAATTTGCTCCACAATAACATTAGTACTTCCAGTGGACATTGATGTACCATGCAATCTACTTATGTCATGAAGGGAGAAGATAATAACCTTCCACCCTCAAATATTTGTATTTATACTGTAACTTAAGGCAGTTAATGAGATGAGGAGTCAGATTTAGAGAACAACTGTTATAAGAAGATAGAAAAAGGTTCCCGCATTAATTTTTATCCTTTCAATTAAAGCCCAGTAGAAAACACTGAAAGATTTGCTGCTGTCTACAGTCTAGGGAAATTTTGGACATCAAAAACTGTTCCTCAATTATACCTCAGGGTAAAGCATCCATAGCCACATCCTGTGGTGGTGAATGGTGTCCCATGCAGCTGGTGGCGAGGCACCAGTGGAATCCCCAGAGCTCAGGACTGGGGCCAGTCCTGCTTAATATCTTTATCTTTGATCAGGACAAGGGGATTGAGTGCTCCCTCAGTCATTTCTCAGATGACACCCAGCTAGGTGTGAGTGTGGGTCTGCTGGGGGCAGGAAGGCTCTGCAGGGGGATCTGGACAGGCTGGATCCATGGGCCCAGGCCAGTGGTCTGAGGGTCAACAAGGCCAGGTCCTGGGTGCTGCCCTTGGCTCACACCAACCCCTGCAGCTCCAGGCTGGGGCAGAGGGGCTGGAAAGCTGGGAAAGGCCCTGGGGGTGCTGGGGACAGAGGCTGGACAGGAGCCCAGGGGGGCAAGAGGCCAAAGGCACCTGGGCTGTGCCAGCCATGGTGTGGCTGCAGGGCCAGGGCAGTGACTGTCCCTGTGCTGGGCACTGCTGGGGCCACACCTCAGATCCTGGGGCAGCTTGGGAACCTCAGGACAAGATGGACATTGAGGAGCTGGAGCGTGTCCAGAGAAGGGAATGGAGCTGGGGAAGGGTTTGGAGCACCAGGAGGGGCTGAGGGAGCTGGGAAAGGGGCTCAGCCTGGAGAAAAGGAGGCTCAGGGGGAACCTTCTGGCTCTGCACAACTCCCTGACAGGAGGTGACAGCTGGGGCTCTGCTCCCAGGGAACAAGGGACAGGACAAGAGGAAATGTCCTCAAGCTGTGCCAGGGGAGGCTCAGGTTGGACATCAGGAGGAATTTCTTCATGGCAAGGGTGGTCAGGCATCAGTAGGGGTTGCCCCGGGAGCGGGTGGGATCTCTGTCTCTGGAGGTGATCAAGGAACAAATGGATGTGGCACTCAGTTCTCTTGGATGAGTGACAAGGTGGGGATTGACTGGTCTCAGGGTGGACTTGGTGATCTTGGAGGGCTTTTCCAACCCAGTGGTTCTGTGGTTCTATGTCCTTGAGAGAAATGAGGCTCAGTAAAATCAATGCAATTCATTAAAGTGCTAAAAGCATTGCTGAGTAACATCTCCTGATAACCTGGAACACAGCAAGTTATGTTTAGAGTGGTTCATGTTTGTGACAGGATTAAGGGGAAAGTAAGATTTTTATAATTACAAAGGTTAACAGCAAAAAGCTTGATAGCTGCATAGTTCTGTCACATTCTTTCATTTCGGTCTTTTTTTAGAGTTATTAGAATTGCCCCAAAACAAGTTGCCTGTTAAAATCTCCTCTGTAAAACACTCAATTTTCTTCTGCTAAACCCCTTTAGAACAAAAGGATTTATGTGCATTCACTATTTACTGTGACACCCACTTAAGCTATATAAACTCCAAGAATGTAAAGCATAGCTCTTATAATTTGCCATGTGCAGGTATTTTTATGGATAGGGAAAAAAATGGGACAGGCAGTTTTGCTTTCAGCTTGATGAAGCTTAGCCAGAAACAATTATTTTCATGATTTAGAACAAATGTGTAAAAAAAGGTAGCAGCTGAATGACATTGACCTCATTCAGTTGCTGAATCTTTCAGTTTATGGCAAACAATTGAAAAGTTCATGGCATTATTCACTCATCCCGTTCAAAGACAACACTTTAATGTTCAACTGTGTAGTGCATTTGCTAAGGGGATCCAATGCCTTATGGCACCAATATGTGTAGCTTTTGCCTTCAATTCATCCATATAAATTATTTTATGGAAAGCTAAATTGTGCAGTGAGAACTTTTAAATAAAATAATCCTGCAGTAACACTGTGCTTAATGATATCACATAGTAGATGTCAAATTCATACACTTCCAAAGTGCTTCATGGCAAACTATTAACCCTCTTTCTCTTCTGTGTGATGATACCCTTGATTTGTCTCTCCAGTTAAAAGGGATAGTTTACAGTTCTACAATTCAGCTGCGGAAGAGCTTTGCAGTTCAGGCAAATGCTAAACCTCTCTCTTACAGAGGAACAAAACAACATATTCTCAAAATTTCAGATTCTTTTCTTTAAGTAAAGAATTAGTTTTATGAGAATTGAAAACTGAACTGAGTTATTTGAAGGCAAATACTAAAATGTTTCTTCTATCAAAATAATAAATCTTTCCTAGAATCACCTTCCTATGAGGTGTAAGGAGACTTTTTTCCCAGCTAAAGATCCGGGGTGTCCTAGGTAATACTTGTGTTGAAATACTTTCAGGATTATGAGGGTTGTTTTTTTTTTATGGTATTCTTAACTCAAAATCTTTCCTTCACCTGGAGTTAGAAATAATGCACTATATTTTAAATACAACTCAAGAAGTTTCTCTTCTTTTCAAGAAGTGGGGCACTTCTTGCTCCCACTAGTACTGTGAGAAGGCTTCAGTAAAGAAATATTCAGTTGATTATGTGTTAAATTCCATTAAAATTGAAGTAGATAAAACTTTTCAGTTAATTAATTCATGCTAAAATCATCTGGCTTAACAGCAGTATGATTTATTAGTCAGTGTTCAAATTTGTACCTAATGAACAGGAAAATAATAAAATTATTATAAGGGTGAATTTCTCTTCTTAATCTATCACTTCCTTATCTTTCAATTAATCTGTTTTGTTTTTCAAAATCATCCTTACAACACTATAGCACTAACCCATTTCCTAGATCTGTGAAGGCTATGCAGAATGCCCACACCAGCTCTTCAATTACCTCCAAGGATGGCTGTTTAATTCTTGTAGGGACAGACTTATCATTTTGATTTTCACACAGTTTTTACAATAGCACAACACTGAGCACTGTGGATGAAGTCATGGAGCAGGCAGGTCACCAGGCTTTCAAGGTGTGCTAAATTATTTGGACACAATTGCCACATCTGTGAAATGAATTTGGGATACAGTCTCACTCATGAATACTTAAAATTCTGTTTGTCACCCCAAGGTTTTGGTGTGTTTGTTTCTTGTGCTGTGTTTTCTATAAATAATGTTATTTTTTAGTGAAATTTTACTCTTACTTCTTGGGTGAGGTGAACATAGTTTGGTTATGAGATTCATCACAGGGAAGATCTGGGCAGACTGAGGTTCCCAGCAATGCTGTGGTCTAAAGATAAAACAACAGTCAGGTGTCTCATGGGACTCAAAATCTAGATAAGAAGGACATGTGAATGAAAATTAAGGATAGAAGAAGAAAAAATACTTCTGTGGGTGGCCACTCCTTAACATCTGTCTGTAATATCTGGCTTCTTCTCTGGGATTGAAATCATACTTGGGTATTCAGTCACAGGCTGGAATGGTAAGACTTTCTTTAACACAGCACAACTGTCTTCATGAAACTTTAGGGGGTACATCATCTTTGGAGGCTCCTCTCTGTCACCTGTGCTGGAAAATGGCCAAGGAAATTCCTGAGGTGTCAGGCAAAGGGAACAGAGCTGTACAAACTTCATTTTTTTAGGAAATCCACCTGGTGAAAAGGTAAAAGGACTTACCTCATCTCTCCCAGCAAACCAACAACAGCTCCAGGAGGTTTTGCTAGTGTCTTCTCTTGCCCAGGTCCATGTCTCTTCCTGCAGAGCTCTGTGGTAGAAAGCCAAAGTCATAATCTGACCCTTACTTTTCAAATTCTACTGTTGTTTGCTTTCTCTAGATTAGACAACCTAATCATATTTTACAAGGTCTGGTACCCTCATTATTCCTCTTCAGCCTCCTTTCTGAATTTGATATCCCTTGCAACTGTGAAGCTACTTTTTTACTCACTTAATTTGTCATCCATTAATTAACTGAATTGATTCTTCTTTCTCTCACTTTCTCATTCTGCCTCTCATCATCCACTTTATTTAACATCAGTTTGAAGGAATGAAGGTGATGCAGCAGTGCTAGTGTGAATGGTCAAAAGAACATGGGAAACAGTCATTATATAAGCAATAGAATATGGAGTACGTGGTTTCTGTGTTTATTACTTGACCTGTCAATATTCTTGTAGGCTGAAATCAACTGAGGGGCCCTGATTTCTCCTGGGATTTTAGACACTCATAAGTAACAGCTGCTACCAGGATGTGATGGAGAAGAACTGAACCCACCAAAAGCCCCAAATAATTTGATAAACAGAATGTGGATTTGCTTTCTTCACATTTTTTTTTATTGTAGATTTCACACCTGTAAAAATGTTGTCAAATCAAGATCTTTGGAACCATTTCATGACAGTATTTTGCTCTCTATAAGTGATTGAGAATCACAGGTGACAGGTGTGAGACAGCAGAGGCTCTGACTAATGACTCAGTCATCAGTGGTTTAGTGTGTAGATCTGAGTGCAATCACAAATCCAGTCCTTGAAATCAACCTCACATAAACAAGCTTTTCAGGAATGTTCCATCTCAGTATTTAACAAGTGCAGGTTTGTTCAAGGAAGCAGAGGGACTAAATGGATTATAAGGAAAGCAAACTCATACAACAAGAAGGAAAGCTTGTCAGTTGCAAGTAGGTAGTTATTATCAATCAGTAGAGTACTCTGACCTTTCAAAGCCTTTGCCAGCTCTGTGAGGCTGTCCTCACACTTAATAGATAAAACCCTGAGAACATTTTATCTCCAGTCTGCACACATTTGCATCAGTTATTAGTTCTGATTTTCTGTGATATGGAGCCTGATTACATCTGAATATCTTCTCATAATAAGAGGAGTTACTGATACCATGTCAAAATCACCACTCTGTTCTGATTACATTTGGATATTTTTTTCAGGTTGCTTCCCCCCACCCCCCCCTTCTTCTTTTGCTCAACACTTTCACAGCATACTTGAGTGTCTTTCATTGCTTATGGCAGTCTGCTCACTGGGGAGCTGTAAATTATGTGAATAACAGAAGCAGAAAACTGTGCTTATGAGGACAATTTATCAAAACCATGTATCTCAGAAAATCCTGAGCTAGAAGGAGCCCACAAGGATCATCCAGTCCATCTCCTCTCCCTGCCCAAGACACCCTAACAATCCCCCCCTGTCCCTGAGAGCGTTGTCCAAACACTCCTGGAGCTCTGGCAGCCTTGGGGCTATGACCATTCCCTGGGGACCCTGTTCAGTGCCCCAGCACCCACTGAGGTAAGAATTTTTCCTGATAACCAGCCTAAACCTCCCCTGACACAGCTCCAGCCGTTCCCTTGGGTCCTGTCTCTGGTCACACAGAGCAGAGATCACTGCCTGCCCCTCCACTTCTGGCTTATTGCACTGCAAAAAGCAAACTTTCCTTAGTTAATTTTTGTTCAGAATTTTAAGGAGAGGAAGAACCATTAAGTTGCCGTGCTATAAAAGATCTGTGACCACTCAATAAATCTTGACTGCCTTTTGACAATTCTGTGACATCCTGGAACTTTGCACTGTGCTCAGACAAAGCTGAGAAAGAGGAACAAACCCAGCTATCTCTGCATAAGGAAAAGTGCAGGAAGGCATTAACAATGTGCTAATGGCCACTGCTGATCTGACTTCAGACAGGACATTATTTTTGTCTGCACCTCTGCTTCCAGTTAATGGAGCTTAAGGGTCTTACCAGTGCTTGCAAGAAGCATGGGATTCAGGTTCAGAGCAGACAGTGGCAGATGAACACCTAAAATATACCGTGGTTTCCAGTGTATCCAGGCCCATCCTACCCTGGTCGCCTCACTACAGGTGTAGATCCTGGCTTTGCTGCAGCAGCTCAGCACATCTTCTCCAGGTGCACATACCTGGAGGTGTGCCTCCCTAAGACACGAACAAAGCAGCTTGGGGCAGAAGCTGTCCACATCAAAGCAGGAGTAAAAGATCACTTTGGGGCTCAAAGTGTAAGGAGCTTTGTCAGAACTAGGTTGGGCCTACAAAGTGAGTGTTTTTGAAGCCCACGTACCTCTCAAGGCAGTGCAGGCACCTCAGTCCCTCCTGCTTAGGATCATAGGCCTTTTAAGGAGGTCTAAAGATTGACTGGTCCATAAATGGATCAGGGAGGAAGTGCCTGCTTCTGCCGCTCGAATTATTCAGTTTGCTGCAGCAGCTGCTGGTTTGATGCCTCACAAGTCAATACAAATAGCGCGGATGTTGCTGCGGAAAGAGGAATTAGCACTCAGCAAAACAGATGGCTGGAGATGAAAAAGACATTGCAGAGAGAATCCTGGACTACCTCAACAGTAAGACCTGTGAAAAACAAAGTTCACGCTTTAGGATTTTTAAAAAGTTTAATAAGGGATAGAATATGAGACGAAAGTCCAGCGCTGGGGTGCTCCTGGTAAACAGCCAAAGAACACACTGGTAGTCCCCAACAGTGTTACCTTTATACTGTTATGGTACTGAGATACATGCATATTCAAAAGGGCCATACATTATTCACACATTCTTGTGAACTGTTTGATATTACAGGAATTCTTCTGTTTGGTTTCTTCATACTCTGGTTTATCTGCATGACATCCTGTGCGTCAAGTTAATGTATTTTATTTCTTCTTGTGTCTGCATCCTGTGGGTTTATGCCCTCTGATAAGGATTTAGTATGTCCTCCTTAAATATTATGTGGTATTTTTTCTAATTGCCCTTCCGTGCTCTGGTTTGTGTCACATTTATCTTATCACTAGGAGAATTCAGTCACTGGGGAAGGGGGGTTAACATGATTACTTTACACCAGCTATTTCTGTTACATAAAGGTATTTTAGCACCCAGTGTTTAGTTAAGGCCTATAATATCATATATTCACTACACTATTTTTATAAACGATATGGTGCATACATAAACTGACAGATTATACTATACTAGAAAGCAGTTAAAAGGAAACATAAATTGTACCATATCAAAATCTTTGTGATTAATAATGGGCGGAAGCTAATACATAAATGCAAAAGCCAATACTATATTGTCATCTATAACAGATATCTTGCAAAATGTCTTTCTATTTCTTTGTGAAATTCCTCAAAGATGCAGCTTTGGACATTTTACCTCAAATCTGTTTGTGTTCTTCTATTCAGCCAGAGAGAAATATAACCTTTCTTTTTTTTTTTTTTTTTTTTTTTTTTTTTTTTTTTTTTTTTTTTTTTTTTTTTTTTATATTTGCCACCAGCTGAAAGAATAAATGCCATTTTCCTGTGCTCAGATATCTGGGATGCCCTTTTGTCCCCCGTGTACTCTGCTCCACACACATTGTCTCTGCACCCCCAGTGCTGTGTTGCTGCCTGATATGAAAACAACAAGGGACTGGGGACTAAACTCAAAGCCTGACATTGTGCTGAGTGAATCAATTAGCAGATAACACCTTCAGTAACTGATGCACACGAATTTGTCTTGTGCCAGCTCCAAGGGATCTGAGTGACAGTAATGACTTCTGTGTCTGTACCTGCCCAAAGCTTTCAAACACAGTGATTGGAGAGTTACACACTTAGCAGTGGTGGTGGTAGGGCCTGTAGAAATTGGCAAAGTTCTCGGGCTTCTTTATTTTTCCAAGAACCTGTCTTTTTCTAATCCCTGTCAATTTGCCTCACTGGAAGAAAAATCAAACCCTGCTATGTCTCAACAGTAAACTGAAAAAAAATTAAAAATAAATGGCATCCTGAGTTGCAGCGACTCTAAAAGACTGCAGAAATACACTAGGAGCAGCACATACTTCTCACATTCAGTGTTCCCTTTTTGAGTGATACTGGAAGAAAAATATTTAAAGAAAATAACGTCCTTTGTTTAGAGTGATGGGAGGTTTTTAAGCATATTATGGTACTAAAGAAATTATTTAGGAGAGCAATTTCCTAAGGTACAAATGCACATCTACAAATAAATATGTAACAATATATGTAAGTATGAATAAGTACTGTTGGTACTCAACCTAAAATCTTTTTTATCTCTGCCAAAAGAAAAAGAATTGTGGAACATTTGCACTTAACTTTAAGTAGATAAATGGAAATATTTCCATTTTGGAGCGTAAAATAATTCTAGGAAAGTGATTGCCATAAGAATATGTCTGAGACATACTGTGTAGTAGAGTTTTTTTATAGACCAAAAACCAAAGAAGTAAATAATTATAGTATAAAGGAGCTCTTGTAAACTACCAGAAAACTGTGTAATAGAGCAATAAGTTAATAGTGTTTCAGAACTCAATCTGATTAGTTTTCTTCATTATACATCCAGATAGATCTGGTTTCTTCTGTTTGTTTTAGAAGGATTTCAAATATTTCTGTCAAAAAAGATCTTAAATTAAGGCTGATTCTGAAATTAGAACCTGAGGCAAAAAGGCTCTGAGTGAAACTAGCTCACAGTCACAGGCTTACCTTTTTTCCTGAACTGACAAGAAATTGCATTAATGTTAAGCAGAATCTGCAGGGCCTGGCTCCTAGAGAATGAGAACACTGAAAAACTCAAGATAACCCTAAATATTTCCTCCAAGGTGATGAGACCATGCAATCAGCACTGGTGGCTGCAGCTGCCCATGGTCTCAGCTACCCAGGTGATCAGGGCTAATAGAGTTTTGAAGGGATAAGCTGAAAATTAAGTGGACACCTCCTTTCTTCCACCTGCCTATTCCGATTTGGGATCTTATCCCTTTACAAGGGATATCTGACTACACACTGGGTGGTGCTCGGTGGTGGTGGTAGGGGGTTGTTTCCCAGACTGGAAAGGTGCCTTATCCTGCTGCTCAGCTGCTGCCTTTCTTCAGCCCTATTTTCTTAGCTGCTGCTTTTTTCTTTAAGCTAAAACATTTTTCTCCCGTTTCTCAGGGCTCAGTTTTTTCTCTGAAGACCAGTGAATTATGGGGCACCAGTTTTCAAGAACTTTGCTGTTCTCCCATGGTTAAACTGAGTATCATAAAGAAAGCCAGCATGTGTCAAGCTCTGGCACACGCATTTATGTTTATACAAGGAACTGGTAACCAGTGTAGCATGTCAGGAC